AACTTTGACATACTTTAACCGATAGTCGTACAAAAACTTAACGTAAAAAAAAATTCCGGTGACAACAATGGAATATATAATATGAACTGTTAGCCGTAAAATGGCCAAAATTTTAACCGTTAGCTGCAAAACCCATTACCCCATTGGGCCCTTGAATTCTCTATTGGCAAGTTCCGGGAGGGGAGGGTCTATCACCCGTGGGGTTTTTTTTCACTAATTGTTTGCACCCAATTTTCTTCAAACGACAGTATCGCATATGACTTCTCAACTTCACTTGTCTTGAAATATTTCTTAGCTTATTCATCATCTAATTTAAAAACAAAAAATGATTAAATAGATAAATGAATGGCTACGTACATAGATAAAGAATAAAAAGAATCTGTCTTTTTTTTTTTTCCTGAATCACAGTTAACCCCCCTACACATCGAAGAAGTTCCTGGTTTCGCCCCTATTACAAGAAACTTCTGGAAAAATATGCTGTATTCTATAAGCGCTAAACCCGAGCATGGAAATAAATTTTTGTCCCAGCTTTAGAGATTGAAATTGCGCCGGTCTCAGAGTCCACAAAAAGTGTCGGCTGTTATCGAATGCGAATCCTCAAGTAGTGAAAATCAAACACATAACAGTAAACAGAAAGAAGGTTTTCAGACTGTTGCACTGAAATCAAATTTGAACTATTTACATTATTCGAAGATGTGATACAGAAAACTGCACACATTGAATCGAATTCAACTTTAAAAATTAAAATATGAAATAGGGCCAATTTAAGTTCAAACAATCTGAGACATCATGTGACAGAAAGATGATTCGGAACGGCAAATTGAACAAACTCGACATGAAACACAGAGCGCAAAAAGGCGAGACAGTACATTTCTTCTTACCTGGATATCACTAATTATAAAACTTGCGTCCAAATTTTCCATTGTTCTGTTCGAAAAATAGGAAAAAAGTTTTTTTCAGGATTAATTCTTGGGTTGACCCTGTCTTGATGAACGTGCGGAATCCATTCAACATCTAAAGGTTGGCTTGTAACGCGGTGCCAAGTCTGTCCTATCTTTTGTAAAACTGCAAAAAACCTTCACGTGAACACACTCTGCAATGTGATATTTTAAGVGGGACAAGTACAAACCTGTTACTGGCAAAAACTCAATTACCTGGTGTACGTTTCATTTCATCTGTTTGCGATTTTTATTTTGATCTGAAGGGCATGTACATCACTTAGCTACATGATGCACACTGTTGCATGATTCATAGCATCGAATAATTTTTAAGAGTGCTCAGCTAGATTCTTTAATTGTCGGCTTGTTTCTTTCATTTAGATGGGGAATATTACTATCATGTATCCTATATATTTGTGTCCTGAATCTCAGATTTTGAAATGCATATGTGGCGGTTCACCATATGGTTACTGCACCAATCGGGACTTCCCCCTTGAAATCACCTGATTACAAACCAGTTTTACAAAAAACTGCGCGTCTAATTTAGTCTTGTTACTGTCAGAAGGAAGTCACGCGTTCCGGGTGAATCACACACCACTCACTCCACGAACATGCCCCACATCAATCATTTTTCGACCCGCCAAGAATGAATCGCCCTTTTGGCCCTTTGGAAAACTCGCCGCAGGGCATGATAAGCACATGACTTTCGAAGATTTATTTTATCGTATCACTGCAGTATTTAGCGTCATATACAGAGCATCTGTTTTAAGTTTGATCAACAGTGATCTAAATAGATATTACAGAGGAAGTTGTCATAAAATTCACCTTCCTTTCTTCGTAATTGAGTTTGATAGACGGGGGTCATTAAGTTAACCATATTTTGTCTTTCTCTTTGGTTAGTCCATCTCAGCTGTGAACAGAACTCACGTCACGCCTTCACCAACATCATAGGCCATCTAAGGAGAACTCACTAGCTCAGAGGAAGGTCATCTGACTGCACCGGAAACCTGGATTTCCCCTTTTATCTAACTCTCAAAGAAAATAAAGATTTCTAAATAGATGCGTATGATCTCTTTCCCTACCCTCGATGACACTTATGTTCAAGTACCGAACTGTTCAGAGTAATAAAATCAACTATTTGGCACATTTTCACATTTCATATATGATTTTCGTGACACCGTGATTTAAATATAGGGAGACAAACCCTCACACATTTTTTTTTGGTGTTATTTGTGTTAAAATTCTCCATCTGGCTCACCCATACTATTTCCTTTTCAATCTTTTCCTTGTTTGGCATTTTTGGGATCGGCCCCTGACTTAAAAGACGATTATTTTTTTAAGAAATTGTTCTTTTCAACCCTACGATTTCCAAGAGTGACCAAGAATGAGTTTCTCCTCACGTCGACAATACATTCTCAATTAAGCAGAAAGGTCATGAGAAGTTAAAAAGTAATCAACTGTATCAACTGGCGGGATATTGTTCAATGGACCACCAGAATAAGTAAAGCAATGGTGAATCTAGATCTTGGCAGTGAAAGGGTGAGAGACGGTTGTCTATGACAGGAAAAATGGCTCGATGCATTTGATAAAATCGGTGAAGTCATGGAGATGGTTGTCTCAACTTTACATGCAAGCTTTACACGTTATTCTTCGGCAGTGGAGTGCCACGTTTTAGTCATATCCAGCATGACAACACACATGATTCATTACGCATTAGCTTGGACAATGTTAAATGCGCAATAAGTACACACTAAGCACCTTATCGATCACAAGACACCGGTACGCATGTCTGTTGGTTACATAATTAAGAGTGCTGAGTGTGGTTACGCGTGATTATCCGAGCGTTGAAAAACACATGCATTTTTATTTCTACTGCACTGCTCTACAGTCACTCCAATTGTCCAACGAACATGTAGCCTTTCTGCCAGCTTTTCACTAGCTCTTTACCGAAGACCTTTCCAAAAAGATCTTTATGGAGACTTAACTTGTGTCGGAAAATGTTTTGAAAGAGGAGCTCTTCGAAGACGCTTACGACACTGTTCTTTGTACCTTTTGGCGAGATAGCATAGTTCCATATCGCATGCAAGCCAAAGGATGTAGTGAAGCCTAATTTTCTGATGATCGCGGTAGGAGTGTGTATGAAAACAAGAAGGGCTGGTTATCTAATTGATCAAAGGTTCGGCTAAAATGAAGATAGGTTAGATCGCGTTTGTTACCCAGAGCCTAAACTTTGTTAAAAAAAACGTTTTTTTTCATTTCTCCTCCCTTCCCCATGCCCTCGCTTTAACAATTTTGACAAAGGGAAAATCAAACCGCCTGAAAAAGCAACCCAATATTAAAATGGAATGTAATGTTTCAACAAAACTCGATTATGGTTGTTGATAGAAGAAGTTTTTTTTCCTCTTCTAAATATCATCATTCCATATTTTGAACGAAAGGATTCTCTTAAAAAAAAACTTTTCAAAAACGAGGCACACGGTTACAGTCAGAGTGAGCGAGTACTTCCCCGTTCCATTCCCATGAGTGATCAAGACAGAATTTCTCCTTACTTCTTCAATACAATATCAAACAGACAAGTGATGAGAATAATGAAAAATATAAAATAAGGGGATCGTCAGTTGATGCAATACCAAATTCTTCAAACCAACATCATAAGAACTGTATCGCAGACAGTAAGGAGAATTGCTAAGAAGATCATGGCAGTGAAAGGGTTAAACTAAACAAGCTGAATTGACGAGGGAAATAATTTGTAATGTAGACAGTAGCATACTACTCAATAGTTGTTATTATATTTTATTATGGGTACTTCAATGTGACTTTTGTGGTTAAGACTTCACATTCACCAAAACCTTGAACTCCCATGAGTGATCAAGACAGAACTTCTCCTAACAATATCAATACAAAATCTAGCAGACAAGTAATGAGAACAGAGAAAAATACCACGTTAGGGATAAGTAGTTGATCCAATTCCAAATTCTCCAAACAGCATAGGAATTGTATGGCGGACAGTAAGGCAAATTACTAGTAACATCTGGGATCATAGGGTGAGCCCACTTTTGGAGAAAAGTTAAAACCGTTTTAATAAACAGTTATAATAATCTCAAAAAAGCAACTTCAGTTACAACGTAAAGGCTTTCATGTACCATTCAGAGGAAAACAGAAATTCGACTTGTGTATTAATTGTATCTCTCTTTCAAGATATTAAAAAAGAGTGATCATATCACTTTATCCAAAAAGATACTTTAAGTAAAAGAATACTAGTTTATCATCAGAAAGTCAGAATAAAATGTCGTTTTGACTTATACTCTAAACTGTTTCACAACAAGGTTACTTTGGACCAATAAAACTCTATATTTACTGATATATCACAATAAAACTATAATTACTTCCTTAACGTATTTTTAGAACTACGAAACGGTTAAAGCATAACATTATGAAGCATACAACACCGGCCAAAATCGTAAGTTAATAGACGCCAGTATGTGGGTTACGGACTTCCTTCAAACATTATAAGACACTGAAACCCTATCAATTTTGTTCATTGAAATATTTTTCAAAAACAGGAAGTGCCTTTATATTTGAAGTTCGGGTTTGCTTTTGAAGCCAGTGGGTCTGCTTCACCTGAAGAAATAGCTGGTTCTTTTTCTCTCACTCCAGTAGCAATTTTTTTTTTTCAGAAAGACTGGTAAGAGATTGAATATTGAACATTGATTACGAGGTAAATCTCTGGCTAGCCTTCGGGCATGCCTTCGTTATAAGCACCGCTGGACAGGAGAGGTTTACCTGTTCGCGTGGCTCAAGGCTTCATATATTCACGCAGACGAAGAAGCGCTCGAGGTGAATTTGTTCGTTGAAATTTTGACGTGCCGTAGTCCAAGACTAAGCGCTGTATATACATTTTCTCTTGCTCTTGCAATGACAAAAGCACAAAAATTAACAAATTCAATAATCAACTTTACCATTTTTATTAAAGTTCGTTGTTTCTTATAAATCTGTTGCCTTCCGATTGTTTTCCGTAGTAGACGTATCGACAACGTCCGAATGTTCCTTTGTGATCTCCTGGAGGGATTGAATTGCTCGGTAGCGGGGTGTAGTTTGAGGATACCATGCTTTCTTGCAGTTCAGCGGTCTAGTCGAAAAAGAACAACGTAATTCATTCAATGAGAAAAACTCTTTCAGGTGGCTTAAGGTGGCTGGTACCAGTTTTCATCTTTTTGATGGTTTGTGACTTTAAAAGAATACAACAAAAAGACTGACCAAGGGCAGTTGAACACTTTTACAGGGTTGAATTAAATAATGATTGGTTATTCAAAACTAGGTGTCATTTTGTCACTAGCAGTTTCCATGGCAACGCTATCATAGGCTTATTCAGACGCATTTTTTAGCTTGTGGCTTAAATAATTCGAAAACTAACCCGGTGACCCCGTATTTTTTTTCAGTGATTGCATTTGGCACTTGAAAAGGAAAATGCACAAAGATTTTAAAAAAATTCTACGGAGCGGAATTTCAGAAAATCTAGAAAAAAGGCAATTTCACACCTCGCAAATTTCCTTGCGTAGGATTTTCTAATTTTTTTTTCTGATGATTCCTTTCGACGTTATTATCATATTGGAACAATAAAAAGGAGGGGTCACCGGACTTGTTTTCATGCAATAGCTTTCGTGAGTTCAGCAATTTCCACGCGCGTTCTCGCGCATATAAAAATCTGGATTCTATAAGATCGACATTTGCTCATGATCTGTTATAGCTACCGCTGACAATTACGTGTGCTCGCGGGAGCGCCTACAATCTGAAGAGTTGGGGCGAAAAAAAAAAAGAGGAAACATGGGAAGAATGAACAACCCTGATAAAGGTTTCTCTCTGAAAAAGTAAGAAGTAATCGAAATAAGAATTTGCATTACTAACCAGATCTTCATCAGGGGGAGCCATAATTTTCATGTGAGCACCAACTCTCTGAGCTTCATCTCTTTCATCTTTTTTCACAGGTCTTGAATCAAGGAAGGTTAGCTTTGGCAGGCGGTAAATGACATAATATCTGATGGAGGAACCATTCATAATTTATATAATATTTTTTTATCAAATTAGACTTGGATGCATCACTCTCGGGGGGGGGGGCGATCCAGGAGGTTTCGATAAGGGGGCATCTTAATTTTGATTCAGAAGACCACAGCCAAAATAAGCAAAGAATATGAGAATTAGGAGAAATGAAAATCCAACCAAGGATCACATTCCCTAATAAAATACCTATATATTAGTCTACCTGTATCGTTGATAATCTTCCTCATCTCTGTGTGAAAAAGACAGTTCATTTGGACAGGCCTGGTTACTCAGCATGCTGAGGTACTTCAGAGAGGGTAGATTCTTGGAGATTTTGTCCAAAATTACATCTAGATTGGCTATGTGTTAAAATTCAGGAAAATCACAATTACATCTAGATTGGCTATGTGTTAAAATTCAGGAAAATCATGGTCTGCAATAATAATTTAGTCCTGTTTTCTTCTATTGAGATATCTCAACTTAGCCTGTGACAGGCTCTTGATTAAAGGGAACAAACAAAAAGGTCACTGGATGCAAAAAAATAGTGGAGTTCTGCAGACATTTTTCTTGACATATCCAGCCACTGTTTGCTGTTCACATTCTGTTTCCTTCCTTTTCACTGACTGAAGGCCTAATACAGGGTGATCTAAACTATGCAGACTTGTCATGTGTTAAAACTGACGCAATTTAGGGAATTTCATCACCTCGAACTTGAATTCTCAGAGGAGATTAGAGCATGCATGATCTGAATCTAGATTCCAACCTATAAATCATTAACACTTAAACCCATGAGAGTGACCAGCAACCAAATTCTCCTTACAATATCACCCTTGAATCACACACATTGGTGTTCCACAAATCCTCCTTGTCGCCACCCTCAGAAATGTATAGAGAACATTGAGCTCAACACTGAATTTTCAACTTACTACGTAGCCAAGTGGCTATAGTGACATTAATTTTTTAATTGTTACCACGATTTCAGTTTGTTTACTAGCCAAACTGGCTTGTGGAAATCGAAAACCACTTGCCAACACCGAGTTTCTACTAGTCTGTGGCTAGTGGGCTACTGTTAATGTCAAACCCTGGAGAAAAGTATGGACGATCTGCATGCTAATGTTCGGGTGATAAGGGTCAAGCAGTTTATTGGTCAGAGGGTCTATCTTGTAGAACCTTATCCTGGTTTCAGTGGAATGAAGTGACTTGACATTTTTCTACCTCCCCTCCCTTGCAGGATACCCCCCCCCCATCCCAGAATAATTTTCTTAATAAAACTCAATTGATAAAATTAGACAGGGTTAAAAGGATATTTTGTTTTTGTTCAATGTCAGCGTGTGTAAGTGGGGCATTTCAGGAATATCCATATCATCTCCAAGCTGGTTGTTATCGAGGATTAGTTCCTCCAGCCTTTCGAAACTGTACAGACCATTAAGTGATCTATGGAAAAAGAAGAAAGTGGATCAACATCTCACCCCAACAGTTACTAGCACCTAATTTCTCCTTACAATATCAGCCCTGTTTAGTTTAGTTTAATTCATTTTGCCACAAGAATGGCAGGAGAAAGGAACAGAACTTTCATTCCAATTGACACCTAACCCCTTTTTTACCCACCCATCCCACCCTGGGGAGGACATCCATCACACAGTAATCTCCTGTGTGGGAAATTAAAGTCTCCTACCCCAACCCTGCAGGAGATGGGAACTCCATTTATCGTCCCTATCCCAGAAGACTAGAAAGTTTAACCATTTGCAGATATTATTACAAAGGAAGCACTTTCTTCTCATTTGTTTAAAGACCCTGAGTGTTGGTCCGGCCGGATTTGAACTCACGACCTCCCGCACAACAGTCCGGCACTCTACCAATTCAGCCCTGGATCACACATCAAGGTCATGAGATTAAAGTAAATAATCACCAACTAAAAAAGCTCTTGATTGTTGACCAATTTCTCCTTGTAAGCACCTCAAGAAATGTCTAGGGAACAGTTTGGAGAATATGCATACTGATGTCTGGGTAAAAAGGATAACACCCATTTCGAATGAGTTAATTGCCATATAACAATTAAAAATTCTGAGGAAAACTTTGACCTTTGTAAGGTGATTTTTTTTTCCTCTGAGACAAGTAGCACAAATTCAAAATGATCTGAATTTGTGCAAATGACCACAGCAAGAAGTTCAAGGTAGACTAAGTAGTCGCAGCACACATAGCACATGGGGTAGATGGTCACAGAAACCTATTTCAGTCAGCTCCTGTTTTCAGTGGATTATTCTGAACTAAAGATAAATATCCTCACCTTAGCTGGTTGTAACTCAGATCCAATCTCGTAACAACCTTCCCATATTTCCTTCCAAAAATCCCTGGTATGCTTTCTACCTCTTGGCCAACAAATGATAACTGTTTAAACAAAAAAACATTGCATTCATATTGCAAATTTTGTATGCATTTCCGGGTTTATCATATAAGGGGGAAAAATTACTGAATTGTGATTGGTCAAGACAGAGGGCATTTTTTTCTTAATTTTTATAATTGCCCCGGGCAAAATTACTTGAAAATGATGGCTGAAAATCGCTTAGCAACGGCTGCCAAGGTAAAGGAAAATTCTGTTTGTTTTGTAACAATGGCGTCCCGTTTTGCTCGAGATCAGTAAGAAAACATTTTGCTCCTTATATTATAAAGAAGTAATCACATGGTTCCTCGTAAAATTAAGGATTAGTATCACTTGTGTTTTCGGAAGTTGCAGAAATTGCCCTCGTCGCTGTGTGACTCGGGCAATTTCAGCAACTTGATCCGAAAACACGTGTGATATTAATCCTTAATTTTACTCTGCCCCATGCAATTACCTATACAAAATGAATGCATTGAAGTGACTGATTGACTGTAACATGTTGATTAGCAGATTGATCCACTAATTGATTCACAAGATCACTTGTGACTGACATTGAGAAATTCACTAATGGCTTCTAAGTTCAAATGCAGTCAAAGTATAACTATTCCCTTTTCTGTTTGATAATTTAGTTTTATCAACTGAGTTGACTGATAAAAGAAGAAAGTGCTACTGCTTGAAAGTCAGCTTTAGAAACTCTAATAATGGTGAAAAATTTACATCATCAAGTCAGTTGATTAAACCAAATTATCTTGTAATACCCAGGGCTTGACACTGGTGGTAGCCCACTAGCCACAGACTTACTAGTAGAAATTCAGTTTTGGCTAGTGGTTTTCAATTTCCATCAGCCAGTTTGGCTAGTAAACAAAATGACATTGTGGTAACATCTAGGATTTCACTAGCCACTTGGTAAGTAAGTTGAAAAGTTAGTGTCAATCCCTGATACCTCTCCCTGATGCAGCATCACAATTTCTTTAGAAACCTATCCCCCACACTCCTTGTCATTTAAGTTGATACTTGGAAATTTTGCAAGTAATACAAAGCTGTGCTCTGAGGAAAATTGATTGGGGCCCAATACTCTGAAACTGTGAAATCCAGGGTGCCCAGCATATGCTTTTTGTGAAAGAACTAAAATTCTTGAGTTTCCCAAGAGCAAAAGTAACGTGCCAGAGGCCACCGGGCACTGCTAGATCACAGCCTTGTAGTGAAGGGCACATTTTTAAAGGCATCAAATGTCCCTTTACCTCCCAGAAGTGATTACCATGTAATTTATCCCTATGTTATCTATGAATCAGGTAGTGAGAATTTAGACATATCTGGTACAAGTTGTTATCTTGACCTGGCACCAAATTCTTGTAACTTACTAACAAGGTAATATGTAACAGCTAGAGGGGATAATTAGCGATCTGGTCTTCGGAGTTCAGAGGTTTAAAAACCGTCAAAATTTGCTAATACTTGGTGGTTTGAATTATAATTATTTGAATCATAATTGGAGAAAAACTTCATAGCAGTGATAAATCAACTATTTTTGTTTCTAAACCCTTCAAAACAGCAAAAAGCCGAATATCATTAAAAAACTCAGCGAATGTGATCGCCCTGGGCGAGTTGGACAGGAGAAAATGTGTACAGCCGAAATTTTTTTAACATATGTGATAAACTGCAATTCAAGTGGTCAGCAACTTTTCAGTGAAGTAAACAATTATTTATCGACGTTTTTCGCAATCAAGAAGACAGTGATGAAACATAACCTTACTCAATGAATCGATCACGAAATCTAAAATTGCATCAGCGAATACCGATCAAAATTCGGAAAGGAAGCAGGACGCTACACATGCACGGTTGATATGAGTGCCAAATTGTTGTTGGTTCGAGATCGCCAGTAAATAAATTTCAGTCCCTACCTGGGAACCATTAAGCACCACAGCTGCCTCGGCACTATCCATCCTTCTGGTGAAAAGGCCTCCAAAGGGTACAATATTACATATCCAGTGCGCAAATTTTGTGAACGTTGCAATGTTTGCCAAAGAATATTATGAATTCGGTACCAGGCTCTAGTCCGATAGGTCGGGGGGGTGGGGGAGGGGGTGCTGGGGGGCCTGTTATCGGGACGCCGGGAGTCAAAGCACACACACCCATGAATCTGCCCCCTTTCTCTTCTTTTCTGTAATTACGCGCATCGGTCAATCATAACGTATCTTTAAGAAAAAAATCAAAAATCGTTCTTTGAATGGACTCTACGAAAACACGTGCAGTCTTGACTTCACCACTTCAAGATTTTATTATCAAACCATACGTACTGTACAGACATTTTGTCTTGATTAGGTTAATATATTGTTACCGGAAAGAACATATTCATACATATATGTACAATATTTTGACATTATGCAAGTCAAGTTGACTTAATTAAATGCTGCATGAGTCTATGCATTTTTGCATAATTGACATTTATCTTGAATGGTTTGAACTTGACCCTGCTATATCGAGATCCTCCTTAAATATGTTTATGATCAGGTATTTTCTGATATCAGTTGTTTAGATTTAGACAATGCAATAACTTGTTCTATATAAGTACAGTTTAATTTCCACTTAAGATTTACCCATGTAGTGGCAAAAATCTTGCCAAAAAATCATGTAAACTATCTATTTTAATTTACACTTGTCTCACCTAACCCAAGTGAACTGTTACTTTTTTTCCACGTGAACTCTCATTTGAGTTGTTATGCAATCCTCTTACAGTCAAAAATGCTGTAAAAACAGTATGCTTCTTTTCAGACTATATAAATACCTGAGAATCAAAACAACTATTACAGAGATTATAGAAATGCAACCAGAGATATAACAATTGCAGTCATAGGAAACCTGTGTGAATGAACCTGTATAGCATGGGAAAACATGACTTAAATAAAAAGATTTAATGGAATTTACACAATTCCTATTCCTGAGGCACTTCAGATTCTTCCGTTTGAGTTGGGGGGTCTGCCTGTTCTTCAGCAGCTGGCACTGGTTCTGGTTCTGCATCTGTTGTTTTGTTCTCTTCATTTGCAGGTGCTGGCTCTGCTGCTGAAGAAAACATGGCTGTCAGAGATGAGATATTTGGATCAAAAAAAAGTTTCTGTTTTTAAAAATTAAGGAACATAAGGGAAGACTAAGCACAAATAAGAAGAGAAGAGAACCACAATCCTTGTCAAAATTGTTGAGACATTTTCCAACTTTTCTGAGTCAAAGTGGGTGAGAGTAGATAATTTGCAATAAAACTTGATAAGGGTGACACTACTAGATTTGAAAAGGGAGTTTTCAGAGCACAAAACAGTTTACAGTGAAAATATTGTTAGGTCATTGTCATTGTCGCAAAGTTTTTTTCCCAAAAAGTAGAATCACATTGACCTCTTTTTGGTTGGGGTTTTGAACAATTTCTTTCTATTGTTGATGTGTTTTTGGTGTGAGTCCCAGTTTAGCAAAGCCTTTTCAACCCCTTGGTACATCAGTCTTGGATTCTGGATATCTTGTTGTGAATTCAGAAACCCAGTTCCTAGATTACAAAAGAGAATTACCAATTTTTTCTCAATTTGACTCACCTTCTGTTTCTTGCTGATCCTCTTTTTTCTCATCCTCAGCTGCTTCCCCCTCTCCCTTCTCCCCTGCTTGCTCTCCTTCCCCTTCTGCCTGCTTTGTCTCTCCTTCTGTAGGCTTTTCCTCCCCCTCTGTCTCCTTTGCTGGCTCTTGCCCCTCCCCTTCCTTATTTTCCTCTCCCTCTGGCTTTACCTCCTCGTCAGTCTTCTTAGCAGCAGCTGCAGCAGCCTCCCCATCTTCACCTTCACCAGCTGGTACAGCTCCTTCAGTGGTCTTTTCTGTTTCCTCTACTTTATTGTCTTGATCTGTTTTATTGATTGATGAAAACAGAGGAATTTTAGTCAATACCGGAAAGCTTTTTACATCCACAAGGTTGTATAAGCATCAACAAAGATAAAGAAAAAGGGGAAGGGAAAGTATAAGTCACCAACAGGAAAGGATACAATTTAATACGACAGAGAGACTGCATCTCCAATGTAACATGGATCTGATTATACTCCAAGATAATAATTTGGATATATCAACAAAGTTGAAATGGTAAATTGGCCACCGTAACGATTACAAAAGCTGACGTTTTGAGCGTTTGCCCTTCGTTGGAGCAAAAGACGAAGGGCTAACACTCGAAACGTCAGCTTTTGTAATCGTTACGGTGGCCAATTTACCATTTCAACTTTGTTGATATATCCAAATTATTTCGTTACCCCCACCGACGCAGCCCCAAACAGTTTCTTTAGAAACTGTCAGCCTTTATTCATGATTAATCCTACATTGATCCCTCTCTTAGCCCTTTCACTCCCAGAAGTGATTAACAAGGAACTTCTCCCTATAAGGTCCACACATTATCCACCAAAGAGGTAATGAGAATATACTCAAACTTATCAGGTATAAGTTATCTTGATCTAACAGCAAATTCTTGTAAATAACCCACAAGGAACTGCACAGCAACCAGAGGGGAGAATTAACAATCAGATCTTGGGATTTAAAGGGTCAAGCAATTTTAATGCCACTTCTGTTTTCTTGTGCTCCAAAATAGATCTTGTATGGTACTAAATTTAGCTCATGCAATACAGGTACTAATAATTAATTTATTTTATTTTGCTCTGTACTGAAACATCCCAGTAATATGCTTGAGGTACTTCAAGGAACAGGTACAAAGCTTGTTGCACATTTTTTAACCATTCACAGACAAGTACTTAAAGTTTGCTTGCAAAAATGCATGCTTCTCTTAGACCCTTCCTTTTGCGACAGTTTGAGCACAATTAAGTGCTAAAAAGTAATTGTTGGGGATAAAGGACTTCTATCGGTTGATTAAAGATATACTTTCATTTTCTCAGTAAGCATGAAGCATGTATATAGACAAATTTGAATTCATAGAAACAGGCCCACCCAGTGGTGTTAAAAAGATGAAAAGAAATCCAAGGAGAACCAACCAAAAAAGCAAAAGGTAAAACAAAGAAAAAGAAAGGTCAGTTCAGAGCAGGGTTCAAAACAGAAATATTTACATGTAAGTAAATCCAAAAGGCAAGCATTTAATATGGAATTTCCAACCAATATTTGCCAGGTGTTTCTTGCTTAATGGGATTGTAGCAAATGGCTTCTCTTTAATCCAAGTTATAATTTATTAAAAAAAGTTCAATTTGCACAGTCAAGTAGAGGCACTTCAGATCACTTTATTAATCGCATCAGAAACTTAACTTTGCTTGAATAGGAAAATAATGTCAATTCTCTTGAAAACAAAATGTAACATGTCGCTGAACAAACTAATTATTACAAAGTTCTCAGATCAAAAATTTATCATGATGATGATGATAATATTTGGTCAAAAAGCCAATATCTTACTTTAAGTTAATTAGTGTAGAGTGAATTTAAAAGTATGTACAAACATATTCATTTGTTACTGCATATTTCAAAATTTCTGAATCTGTATTATTCTCCACAATTTTCATAATAACATCTTCATTATATAATTCTCTAATAAATTGCATTACCTCTCAAATAAAATTTGAATTGAGGATAAGTTTATAATAATTAACATCTTTACAATGTAATAAAGATCATAATTATAAAATCTTCAAAATTTATATATGACTTGTAATGTTAGGAACAAAACAATCTATAAAAAATTTGAAATTAAATTATCTTATTGGGAAAAGTTTAAAAACATTATCAACAATGGTGAAGGCATCCTGGTGGTTTTTATATGAATCATACATCTGAGTTATTCATTTTCTGGCATCCTTCCACCAGCTGTATTACAAATAAAACAGAAAATCTTAGTATCACAGTGATAATTTAATTGTTATAAATAAACAAATTACATCTAAATCAAAAGATTTGCACATTTACTGTAAATTGATCTGTAGGTTGATAGTGATTCAAAGAATTAAAGCATTATATGCAGCAAATTTTAATCATAGATCCCAGCCTACAATGATTTACAATCATTATGGAAGCTTTACAAGGAAATTATCTGATGACTAGTTCTCCTGTCTATAGTTGCTTTATATTTCCTCATAATTTAGGAGAATTTGGGGTTAAATTAAGAGAAACTCTAATTTTGGGCAATTTATAATTTCAGGTAAAATGACTTTTAGGTGACTTGACCCATTACCCTCCAGGGCTCGACACTAACTTTTCAACTTACCAGCCAAGTCAGGCTACTGACATCTTAGTCAGATGTTTTTAGATGTTACGACAATTTCAGTCTGTTTACTAGCCAAACTGGCTCTTGGAAATTGAAAACCACTAGCCAAAACTGAATTCTACTAGTCTGTGGCTAGTGGGCTAACTGTTAGTGTAGACCCTGACCCACACTACCTGCTAGCAAGGCAAGGAAAAACAAAGCTCAGAAAAAGAGAAATCATGAAAAATTCCCATGTCAGATTCTCTGCCTTAAAGTCTAACTGCTGACAGTAGGGCATTAAAGACAAAAAAAAAACAATTTTAGAAGGATATAAAAGGTTAGAGTTCGCTTTATTCAAACTGTACTAATGTTTTCTTTTTTGCCTGGCAAACTGAGTTTGAATAATCATGGCTCACAGCATATCTTTTCAGTTCATGACATTTCATATGTGATACTCCTTGCATGTCTTCATCAGATTTTGAATAATTGAATGACTATGCTTCACAGCTATAAAATTAATATACTGCACAAGTAATGCAACATACTCATTCACCCTTAATCCCTGGTGAAGACTGGCAAAAAGAAGTTTAGAAGTCCCAGTCTTCAATTGACACTGACTCTACATTTTTCGCCATAGTATTACTCTGCATTTACTCACCTTCAACTTCATCTCCCTCTGCAACTGGAGCCAATGTTTCAGTGACTTCTGGTGGAATTGGCCTTGGTGTTTGAACAGGCACAACCTCCTCATTAGCAGCCTTCTCAAAAGCTTCTTGCCGCACAATCAATTCAGCTTCCTCTTTCCGTTTTTGTTCTCTTATGAGCTCTTCTTCAGCTTCTTGCCTCTCTCTTTCAAGAGCTTTTTGTTCCTCTTGTTTCTACAAAATATTTACATCAAGGAAAAAAATGAATTTAATTTTTTCTTGGCTCATTATCTGTGGAACCAAAAATTAGTGACAAGGATTTCAAATGGGTGACCCTAAAAGCCGGAATGACAGAATGCCAGAATGCTGGAATGCCAGAATGCCGGAATGCAGGAATGCCGGAAAGACGGAATATGACCCCAAATCCTAATACCTGGAACGACGGAATATGACCTCAAATCCTAAAATCCAGAAACGGATGTCAGGACATATTGACAAAGACAATAACGCACATGAATAAAACTATGTGTTGATTTTTTTTTCCTTTACTGAGTGTTATTATGAACCATTACACATGCAAGGTAGCTGCGTTGTAAACCTGTTTATTCATCTTTTGTTCTGCTTAATGTGCCATAAGTTTTAATCGTGCCATAGGAAGTCGCACTGTACGGGTCCGCAAATGATCCCAGGACCACAAATGATCCCGGACTGCAAATGATCCCGGACCGCAAATGATCCCAGGACCGCAAATGATCCGGGACTGCAAATGATCCTGGACCGCAAATGATCCCCAAATTGGACTGCAAATGATCCCCAAATTGGACCGCAAATGATCCCCAGACTGAACCGCAAATGATCCCGACTAAAAAATAAGGAATGGCATGGACTGATATGAAAACACGTTTTATTATTTTATAAGAAATATTCCATAGCTGATTTGTTTTTTGATTTTAGCAGAAAATCTGTGACATTGCATGACGTTCTGTCAGGTAACACACAACGTTTTATGTATAAGGGCCAAAGATTTTGTCCATTTCAAGACCTTTAGCATAGTACAATAATTTTCTAAAGACATTTGTTGTGATCGCGGGCTGCGAATCTTCTGTTAATTGAATGTGTAGAATGCTGGAGAACATGCTTAAGTGGATTTCATTTCTGTTGCATATGATCAATGCTTCCAGTGCACGTGTGATTTCAGTGAAATCAAGCATGTAAAAATCACAAGGACAACGGAGAATTAAAATTCACACATAGTATGATAGCTGTAAAAAAATTAAATTTCCACAGTTGATTTCACCGATTACCTGTTGAACTAAAAGTCTTTTGTTCAGCATCCTCAGTACCCAGAGTGGGGATATGGCCTTGCTGGGCCATGAAGCTGAGCTTCATTACCATAGCCTGGAACCAACAGCATCGACACAGAATTCCCAACTAGCAGTTGTTCAGGAATTAAAGCAGAAATACAGCGAGGGGAAAATAGCTAAAGAAATTTGCCACAGAAGTGGAAGGCAGTTCGATTGTTACTCACACCGTGTCTTTCAGAGCAGTGAAAGTTTATTACTGAGGTTTATTCAAACGACAGCATTTTTTGCAACAGTTTCCTCCTGGTGGACTTTTAGTTAGGAACTTTAGCTAAAGACACACATGGCAACGAAAAAGCAAGCAGCGCTCCATATGTTGGACGGAATCTTATTGTCTAAAACATTAAGTTCTTGTTATTGTTGCTGCCGTTGTTATCAGTCGTATGGCATTAATGGACTGATTAGATTTGATTTGAAGATACTGTAACACCAAAATAACAATGTTTAGCTGAGCAGAGATACGAGGTGTATATTGCGTTATTAAAAAAAATCTGTTAAAGGGCTACTGGTTGCAAAGAATACAAAACTTCTGGCCTGCAACTCAAATCAGCAGTTTTATTTGTCAGTCGTCAGTTGTTAGAGTTAATAAAAAAAATTCAGCACAAAGTGTGGAAAAGATGCTAGTTGTGAGCCATGATAATCACTGTTCACGCCAAATCCCTATCCACACTATTTCAGCATCCATGCTATTGTTCACGCCAATTCCCTATCCACACTATTTCAGCATCCATGCTATTCCTTATTTTTTAGTCGGGATCATTTGCGGTTCGGTGTGGGGATCATTTGCGGTGTGGGGATCATTTGCGGTCCGAGATCATTTGTGGTCCAATTTAGGGATCATTTGCAGTATAGGGATCAGTTGCGGTCCAATTTAGGGATCATTTGCAGTATAGGGATCATTTGCGGTCCAATTTAGGGATCATTGCAGTATAGGGATCAGTTGCGGTCCAATTTAGGGATCATTTGCAGTATAGGGATCAGTTGCAGTCCAATTTAGGGATCATTTGCAGTATAGGGATCAGTTGTGGTCCAATTTAGGGATCATTTGCAGTATAGGGATCAGTTGCGGTCCAATTTAGGGATCATTTGCAGTATAGGGATCAGTTGCAGTCCTGGGATCATTTGCGGACCCATACAGCACAGCATGTGAAAACTAACTTGACCTACCACATTGCAATAAACAATTGGAACATACCTTTCGTGGACACGTTTCCTGGTATTTAATGAAATATATGCTTGTAAGCATGAGAAAATCACAGGAACCTTTCCACGCTTCTCAAAATATAACGACGTTCAGTCACAGCTCCAAACTTAGACTGGCGTAATAGCAAGCCTTAGTTGCGAGCCCTTTGATAAGAGCTTTTCTTCATCCACAAGTACATTTTAGACCTTGAGTAACCCTAGCTGAAGAGAGTTTGCATGGGGTCATCACGTGGGAATTTCTTGTGGCGTTAAAAGACAAAATGAAGTTGGCAGAAGGAAGCCATCCAGAAGAATTTCAAGATTTCTTCTTTTCCTGAGCAAATTACAAATCTTCAACTCTCTGACGCTTTTAAAATTTGGCCTTCCAAGGGAAAAGTAATTCTTTGTCTTTTAATGCCATGAGAAATTCCCACGCGATGACCCTATGTAACCTCTCTTCAACTAGTGTTACTCAAGGTCTAAAATGTATTCGGGACAAAGAAAAAGCTCTTATTAAAGGGCTTGCAACTTAAGGGCTTACTATTACGCTAGTCTAAGTTTGGGGCTGTGACTGAACGTCGTTATATTTTGAGAAGCGTGGAAAGGTTCCCGTGATTTTCTCATGCTTACCAGCATATGTTTCATTAAATACTGCCGACGTGACCACCAAAGGTATGTTCCAATTGTTTATTGCAATGTGGTAGGTCAAGTTAGTTTTCACATGCTGTGCGACTTCCTATGCTGCACCTAAAACTCATGGCAAATTTAGCAGATCAAAAGGTAAATAAACAGGTTTACATCGCAGGTACCTTGCATGTGCAATGGTTCATAATTATTCATAACACTCAGTAAAGGAAAAAAAATCAACTCTTAGTTTTAGTCACGTGCGTTATCGTCTTTGTCAATATGTCCTGACATCCGTTCCAGGTTTTAGGATTTGGGGTCATATTCCGTCGTTTCGTCATTCCGTCGTTCCAGCTTTTAGGGTCTCCGTTCCAAAGCAATGGCAAAATTCTTTATACAAATAAATGTCGCCAAAATATTTAGAAATTATTCCCAAAATGACGTCAATATTTTACACAACGTTTATTACCTAAAAACTTTTGCCATTTTTTACTATTGAAGGGATTAAAGACGTCCTGTTTGCTTCTGAAACAGCTATAACCATTTTTTCTTGGGTAAGAACAAAACAGCAGTGTTTTAGACTGCCTAACACAACATTTGAGGACTCCTTTGTAAATCACTTATCAGTGAAATTGATATCCTCAATAAAGATTATTATCATCACATAAAACCAACTCAGACACACAGAATACCTTCTTTGCAAACTCTTCGTTTTCAACGTACTTTCGCAGCCAGTGAGCGAGATACTCAATTGGATCTACTGGTCGTTTCTCTGCTATTTCGGCTAAACCAGAAGCAAGAGCTTTTCCGACGTGTTTCTTGAGATATTCAGAGTCCATTTTTTTGACGACAAAAGTGAGAGAAGTCCTCAGAAATGCTGAGTTACTTGCTACAAAAACTCTACTTGTGTCTCTTCGTAAGCCTGTAACCACGACTACAAAGCCCGCTGTACCAATGCAATGCGGGCAGTATACACGAAGAAATGTCGTGTACGGTATTACCGATATGTATTAAGATCGGTGCTTTCATTTGTGATCTTAACTTTTCTCCAAAGTTTTTTAATACATCCTCAAAAATGAGCAAACAAATCATATCGGGATATGGTATCATTTAGAATTAGACAATAAAAAAGAATGATCAAGTATCCATTTTTTTTTTTTTTTAAAAAGTTTTGACTCTGCCTGGTCTGATTGCAACATATTAGCGCAAAGAAAAATCAAATTTTGCAATAAGTCTCGCCATAAAAAGAAGGTAGTTTTTTTGTTTATTTTTCATAATTGCCTTCAAAGGATTTTTTCCTCAAGATGAAGGCAATTGATTCTTTCTTTCTTTCTAAAGTAATGGCACAGCTGTAAGAGTCATGAGCCGGGTAATTTAAAATTTAAGGCCGCTCTGCGGGACCACCTTATTGAAACCGGGAACTGTGGTTATCTATCTATATTTATTAAAAACTGGATCACTGGATAATGCAATTCAATACTTTTTATTGGCTTAGCCATTATGGTATATGAGCCAATATACCAAAATCTACAAATATGGTAAGCGTACGCATCAGCTTAAAATTAAAAGGAGCTAAAAAATTTAATAAAATTTAATAATTTAATTTAATGTTTTAATAAAACAATTATTCCACTTGCGCTTGTTGGATATGAGATGTTTATCGCCAACTCGACGCTACGCACCTCGTTGGCTATCTATCATCTCATATATATATATATATTATTAGTGTTTATTTATTATTTATTTATTTATTATTTTATTTATGTATATTGATGCGATGCGTTGATACGCTTTATCAATATTAATAAAGTAGAAGTTGATTTACGAAAACACTCGTGCAACTCTAGTGTCGCGCACGACGACGTGAACTGGGGCATGAAGGCAGGAAGGAGGCGTGTCAAGATGTGACCAATCAAAAACTATTTTGTTATGGAAGAATAAACTCGCCAATCACAAATCTTATTATAATGTCATTCATGTGTAAATCCAATATTTCGTCATCCAAAACACAACATTATAACTTCTTTCTAGTTCAGGGTAGAAAGTACAGCATGTTCTGTCGAAGAATTTCGGGTTTTGCCCGAATCGGAACGCGTTGTCTTCCCAGAATTATTCAAAGAAGTTACAGACTTCAGTACACCACAGTTCTGACAAAAATTTCCCGATGTTTCTCAAGCCAAACTTTCTCTAACAGCGAAATATCAAGCTTTCGCTTGTGGAGCGATGGCGGCGGTGATCATGTTGCTTCGAATCCTTTTGATGATTTAGGTGCTTGGCACGACGCTGAAGCCAGATCTTTCCTTCACAGCGTTTCAGTAGATACTGTTGGTAAAAGTACTGCGAAAGGACAACGAGAAGCGAATGAGGATTGCTACAAAATTTTAGAACTAGAACCAGACTTGTACTACTTCGCTGTGTTCGACGGTCATGGGGGATCAGTGGCTGTGGAGTTTGTGAGCGAACATCTCCATGATTGTATAAAGAACTGTTACAGATGCGATAAAAGTATCAAAAGTGTATTATTGGACGCTTTTGCTAAATGTAACAGTGATTTGAAGGAATACTGCGAGTGGCTTATTGAAAAAGGTAAGTTATGAAGTAGTTGTAAACAACAGAAATTGTTTACACGCGGAAAACTGTGTGGAATTTACTCACGTTTGACCTATCGCCCTCTCTAAGGCGCCCCATATCTTTTGACTGAAGGAGCTTAGATATTCTAGTGATAACTGTCTAGTTGACAGTTTGTAAAGGACTTTTCTCACCTGTTAGATCGTTTCTCACTTTGTTGAGAAAAAAGTTATAATTTTATATTTACTCTGGTTGTGAAAATTGCACGTGCTCGTCTCATAGACTCCTGCAAACACTACAATATTGTTTGGATTCGTTGAATGACACAAGTTTCTTTGCCAATTGTTTTAGTGTTGAGTGGAGTGAGTGAGTGAAATTCCACTTTTTCCCATATGGTTTGCGTATTGGTACCATAAATACCAAGGAAGGAAATTAGTTTCTTCGTGCGTCATTACTTCGAAGTTTCGATCTGCATCCGTTTGGCGCGATTTCACTGAGTCACCGTTTCCGATTGTTTATTTATCCACGTCTATTCATTAACAAAGTGAGTTAAAGAAGGGGCACAGTGGGGGTTGTTCTTATATTTGATACTGTGCTAAGGCAATATGGTGGGTCTGCTGATTTCGAGCTTAAGTTAAGGAGAACAGTTTTGTAATTGAAAGATGATGTATTCAGTAAATGAAACAGGCATACTCGAAGAAAAAGGACTCAGAGTGTCCCCAGTTGGAGTCGAACTTACAGTACGTCGGATGCTCTACCACTGAGCTTAACAGGAGACTAGTGATAGACTTTTGGCCGTTTAACTAGGCCTCTAGTGAAGAACTTCTCGCATACTGCCAGGATAGTTATGTAACTTCAGTACGCGAATTTTCAGTGTATGGAGAGGTAGTTATTGGATACCGTTTTTTTAATGCAGAAAATTTCCTAGAGGGAAAAAGTAATGATTTGAACTAAACCACTTATGTGCTTCTTCCCACTCATGGCGGGGAATAAATGGTTGTCAACGTAACAGCATTCGGTTGGAAAGTGTTTTGGAAATAAGATCAGGCTAACTTCAGGCTATCCTAAAACAAGGCCTTTTTTGTCCCACATGTCGTTTTTTGCCATTGTTCCTTTTGTCAAACACCTCTATGCAAATTTGGTATGGAAATCTCGATCAGCATTCAATAAGGGGTTGAAGCATTCCTTGTTGCATAAAGTTTTCTTGTTCTTCATCATTTTCCCTGTTGTTTGTCACAGAGAAATTACCTAGCAAAGGCAAAATGTCAATAACTTGTATAAAGAGGTGGGTGGGTAGGGGATTAAGTGGAGCTTCAAGCCTTTTTTTTTTCCTGATTCATGCCCTAGAACTTTGTTCTAGGGCAGCATGAAAATTGTTTTTGCAAAATATTCAGTCTCTTGATCTTTTAACAAATCCTGGTACTGTGGCGTGACACACGTGACTGACTTTAGTCATGTGATCAGAAAGTCACATAATCCCTTGTGTCATGCGGCACCAGACACTGTGACAACTCGAAAAACCCCAACTAGTCATTAAAAAGTCTTGTTGCAGTTTTAACCCATAGCTCTGTGGTTTTTATCGTCGTCACAACTTAACAGGTACAGCTGCAGTTTCAGTGCTTTTTTATTTTTAGGCAAGGTAACCTTTTTAAGATGGGGCTCAGAGAGATGATGCCCTCTTGAAATCTAAGATCTGGTGATATGATTTCAGATTATGCATCTATTTCCCTAAACCTGTTAATCTTTTTACTCACAAGATCTCATTAGCAATTCTCCTTACTGTCTGCCACACAATTCTTATGATGCTAGTTTGGAGAATTTGGTGTTGGATCTATTAATAATCAGGTTTATCCTAATTGATATTTTGCTCTATTCTCACCACTAGTTTGCGTGCTATTGTATTGGTACTGTAATGAGAATTCTCTCTTGGCCACTTATAGCTTAAAAGCCTTGAAGTAATATTAAGTTGTTCTTATGTTTTCTGTTGTAGGTCATGAAAGAAACATATTACACTGTGGTACCACAGCGACTGTTGCTCTTTTACAAAATGGTACAGATCTCACAGTAGCTAGTGTTGGAGACAGCAGCGGCTTGATGTGCCGCATGGGTGAAGCAGTCTCAATGACAAATGCACACCATCCATCTAGAGAAGATGAGCAGAGAAGAATTAAGTTGTTTAATGGATGGATTGATTGGGGACCAAATTCTCCAAAGGTTAATGGAAAGCTTGCAATGACGCGCTCAATTGGTGACTTTCATTTGAAGCCCTATGGAGTCATTGCCATTCCTGAAGTACAGCAGTTTAAACTGGATTTTAAAGCAGATTCTTTTATTGTTTTGCACACTGACGGCGTGTCGCATGTTATGTCAGATGAGGAAATTACTGACCTTGTGCAGACTTGTCCTGATGCTGAACATGCTGCTAACATTCTGACACATTGTGCAATACAGTATGGTTCAGAAGACAATATCACCGCAATAGTTATTCCTCTGAGACTTTGGACTGAAAAACTCAAACAGAAAATATCAAAGGAGCACAGCTTACTGAAAAACATGAGAATTAATTACATTTGAATATTCTTGTACTAAGTTCAAGTGCTGTCTCCTTTGTTTGGACCATGTTGGGAGATAGAAGAAGAATTGAAGTCATCTTGGGATATTTTTTTATACTAACATTTGTGTTGAGTATTAAATTCTGACATCATAGAATGATTTTTCAGCAATTTGGCCCAATATTTTGATCAGTATACACAGGATTCTTTACAAATTCTTCCCCTATATATTGTGTGAGTAACTTCCCACATTGCACGTAATAAGTATTTCGGGAATTTTGAGAGTAGTTTTACATTCTTTGAAATAGATTTTATAATTTGGCGACTGTGTAAGATTTCGCTGGGTTTCTTTATTGACACATCCATTGTTGTCAAGAAAAGCATGGTGGAATCCACCACTTTGCCCATCCTCCATTAACCTTAGAAAATTCAAAAGAAGACCTGCAGGAACAGGAATTCCTGCCAATCCAATTAGAACATTTTTATGGGATTATATTTATTTACAACCACTGTTTTTAAATTATTATTGTTGGCAGACTTACTTGTACTCATATTTTTGTTATTTATGTAAATAATATTGAGAATATTTCTACAAGAGCATGCTCTGTGCTTGAGTCCTCTTGCAATGGTTGTAAATCATACTGTAATATAACACAGTGTCTGTAAATTTTATGATGTTAAAAATTCTTTCTCTGATCAGTGAAGACATGTATTGGAAGATTTTTCCATACCAATAAATTACTATAAACCACAGCACCAAGAGCTATTTTTTTTACTTTCAGTCAGGTTGTTGAAACATCAGTCCCCATAACTGAAAACAGTCCTTCTTGGGACTACGCTCACTACCATTTTTTTTTTCTTACAAATGTTCTTATTTGATTTTATGGTCCTAGAATAGTTGCTGTACCTAGAAGCAAAGTGCCAGCTCATACGTCCAAAATAACCAAAGCATGATTTCAATATCATCTGTATGTACATGTTCTCAAAATGTTAATGTTCTCAAAATTAACCAAAAATCTTTTTTTTTCACTGAATGTTGTTGTTGTTGTTTTTTCCATTGTTTTTTGGCAAGTGTGGATTTACTGGGTGGCCTAGTGCAGTAGCGCAACCCTCTAGATGATCGCGTTCAATTTTTGGCAATGTGTTCAACTGTTGACCCTGAGTTCCCCTCTCCACCCAGGAGAATGAATGGGTATACCAGTGGATTTTACATGGAAACATGAAACCGTTGTCACTGAGATGGATATGCATCCCCTATACTGATATCGGTTAAGTCTGCCTTGTCCCCAGTCGCTCGCTCGCGATTATTTTGGGAATATTTGGGTTAATTATTAAGAAAAGTGGGGGCGAAAGGAATGATGGGATGGGGAGAGAAGGCTTTCCCCTTTCCCCTTCCTTTCCCTTCCCATCACTCCCTTCGCCCACGCTTTCTCCAAAATATTCGATCGCGAGCGCCTTGGGAAAGCCTGTGGCGGAGGCAGTCGGTTAAGTAGCAACACTCTAAGACTAGAGTAAACTTTTGCAGTGCAGAGGGCTCATTTTTATGGTAGACTTGTGCAACCTCAAGCGAGCTATCTAGACCAATCACTGAATAAGTTAAATTAAAACCAAAGTAGATAGAGACAGAGAGAGAGGTTTGCACCTCCGCCAATGATACTGTTAATCATCTGGATTGTGTCACGGTTATTATACCAATGAAAATATTAGAATCCCATCTGTTTTGTTTCCGATATTAGCGAGGAATTGGAGAGGGAGAAGCGCGCAATGCAAATAGAACACGTTATTTCTGAACATACGTTTATTAGAAATGCACTGCTTATGCCACAATAGCTACTACAAGTTAAGGTATAAAAGTAAACCAGGATTAACATATTTACATGTATAATGTACGCTGTTTGTAAAGATTTATGTCAATAAAGTTTGTGTGGATCAGACTGGGTACAGTCGAAGCTCGCGTAAGCGGACACCCTCGGGACGGGATAAAAATGTCCGTAACTGGGGCTGGCCGCTTACGAGTATGGTTCTCGCAAGCGGCCACTAGAGGTGTAGGGGATAGATGGCCGCTTACGGGGGCTTGCCCAGCTAACAATAAATATTGGTACACAAAAAAGTACCACGGTATTAAATGACACTTTTTTATTGCGCCCTATACAATCCTACGATAAATATGGTACTGTAAAATCATTGTGACGAACGGCAATGTAAAATGGTTGATTGATAAAAACAAGATACAAGACAGAGGTGATTGATTTTCTTTTGAGTGTCCGTTTACGAGAGCTTAAAAACAAAGAAAAAGTCTAAGTCGTAATCCCTGAAAGTGTCCGCGGCCGCTTACGGGAATGTCCGTTTACGAGAATGTAAAAATACAGAGTTTTTATGGGAGTTAAAACGGGGTTTCAAACAAGGCGGCCGTAAGTAGAGCTGTCCGCTTACGAGAGTGTCCGTTAAGAGAGCTTCGACTATATCCATAAACATAACATTTATATTTTCGCGACGAAATCAAAGTTGTGAGAGTCCTAATGGGGTTATAGCTTTTACGGCTATAGTGAATATATTTTCATTATTGTCACCAGAAACTTTTTTAACGGTTGAATTCTTTACTGACTGACGGTTAAAGAATTTTTTTTAGTTGCGCCTAACGGGTAAATATTTTGGCAGTACTACGGCCAGCGGTTAACCCTATTAAGACCCTCAGATTTATATATTCAGCCGGTGTTGTAAATTTTTCAGACTAACGAAATTGTTACCTCCTTTCCCCTTTTTCATCAGTCCTAGCCTTCAGGTTTTACATCTTCTTGACCATAAATTAAGCCAGAAAGACAAACAAAAAGACAAACAAACCAAAAAAACAACATAACACGGCAGAAAACAAATTTGTTAAAAAGTTAAGCAAAAGACAAAACAAAATATAAAACAGAAAACAAAACAAAAACAAGTGTAGCAAAAAAAAAAAAATTGAAGGAAATAAAGATAATTTACGATCAAAATATTTTAAACAACCGGTTTGTTCCTCCTGTTATCAAAAAGGGTGTCACAGAGCTGATTATAACTACACTCAATTTATTCAATAGGTTACTCGTGGGAATGAGGTTAAAATTTTTGAGCTGGTTACTGCTGATTGTTGGGGGTTAAGAATACAATTCTTCATATTTATGTTTTAGCTGCCATTATGAGGCATTTACTAAACAAACTTTTCTCAGTCGCGGACGAATGAATACCAGGAGCCGAAATTGATTGATGCTGGCGAAGTAGCTTCATGGAGGAAAATGATCTGGCATATTTGTAAGAAAGTTGTCAAAAACTGTTGGATCAACTGATCAATGTGTAAAGAATGTGCGATATGTGAAGAGAGCCTGATCGATCTAAATACGATCATGGATACATTTTCGCCGATCTTAAAAGTGGAACTTACGGAGTTAAGGGACTAGAGGGCTGTCATTTATGCATCTAGTTGTTAGCATGGTATAACTTCCGTGTGCCCTATCTTACGGAAGTTTGACCACATAAATCGTATTAACCACTTTTACATACCTTATTGAAATGTTAGGTGAGTTGAGTTCCGCTCTTGAAAGCATCTGGTTGAATCTTTAAACGTAAACAAGGCTTTTAACCAGTAAGGAGCACAAAACCTCTTCCCGAGAGCATTGTTAGGGTGTGTAATACCTGAACACTCCGGAAAGATGTCTACAACCTTTAATCTACTGTTCATTTCATTAAATTTGATGTCAATATTCTTCGTCGTGCTTAATGGCGTCACTAAAAGAAAAACAGCTTTATTACGTGTATTCTCTGGAGGACATCGAAACTGAAGGCATACAACTTGCTTTGAACTGCCCGGAGTTTCAGGTTCTGAACTTTTAACATGATAGCCGTACAATTCTCCATCACCAAAATTTTTTCCTTTGTAACCAGATGCCATGAATATCGCTTTTTTTCCTTCGTGTACGACTCTAACAAAACACTTACTCTTATCGCTCTCTTCAGGCCAATTGTTTACCCTTCGAAGCAGATTATAACTAGAAATAGATTCCGGAATTTTAAAAACAAACTGAGCTGTTTTTGTTTGTGGCGCTAGCGCGCTGTTCAGAGAGACTGTGCACTTTTCCTCACCAGCTGAATTTACGGAGTATGTTGGTCCGTCACTACCATTCAGTATGCTGTTAAATCGAAACGATTTGATCGTAGTCCCCTTGCCTTTACTTGAAACTATGCTCCCTCCTACATTCTTAAATATATCCTTTGTTTCAATTGAGTTTGGGTAGGGTTCATAAAAAATATTTTCCCTCAAATTTAAAGCCTGGACATAGCAATCAGCATTTCTCAAAATCACAACGCAGGCCAAACGGTTGACCGTCACTTTCTCCATGTATCCGTTTGGGTTTAGGCAAATTACTCTTACTAGGACTTTGTCACTTGCATAATTATCATTTGTTGTATCTTTTGTTATGGTTACTCTCAAAGCTACTCGTTCCGATGGGGTATCAAAGTTTAAATCGTGTTTTGCCAAGGAAGGCGTCACGTTTACAGCTAGAAATGTCCGACCAGAACGCTTTCTTCTTCGGTTTTTTCCATCCTCGAGCAAAAATTTACCGGCCTCCCTCCAACGTCCTGTCTTTTTATCCAACCAGTAAAGTCTGATGCCACCAGACACAGTCAAATTGAGTTTTTCTGGATCCAGGTACACCTTCATAGGTTTAGACATAGTAAGCTGCTTTCCATTGTCATCTTCCAGATTAACCTTTATCATGCCAAACGTTTGAAGTAGTTCCTCCTCGCCATCCTCATTCATTGAACTAAAATCTCCGGGAGCAGACTCAATATCCGATTGGTTGCGAGGATCAGTGACGCTGACGGTGGCCTTGGCATTTCCACTGAAAATAGATCCATCCTCAGTTAAAAGGGCGTTTTCAGGTAGCTCAAGATCAGCAAAGCTATCAGAGGAATCGCTCCCCAATGGTACATCAAGTGGTTCGGAGGCATTGAATATAACAGGTGCTGGTTTCTCTCTAAGTTTCACTGTGTAAACGGCTGTTTGGCCCTCTTCCACAACAAAAAGTTTGTCTTCTTCTACAAATTTGTTGTTCATCTGGTCTTTGAATGTCACAACTGCTCTTCTCGTAGTTTTTGGCACAGGAAATGAGAATTTTCCATCGGTATCAGTACTACCCACAGATTTTCCTTTAAAAACCAGATCCACAAAAGTCGCTGGACTGCCATCTGGACCGATAACAACACCGCTGATGAAAGTCTCTTTCTCGAAACATTTTCCACATCCGCAGCCCTTTATCACTGATAGGCCGAAGGATATCGCGAAACCGCATTTTACTAAGACACTTTCTGTGAACAGCGGACCACAACAAAGGGGAGGATCGGAGCAAGAAGAACTGTAGTTAACACCTCTCATTACGCATGCAATAGGTTCGCACTCGCCGACATCCACTGTGGTGGAGTTTGTACCATTAACAAAACAACCAGGTGGTAGAGTCACATTATTGGAACTTGGCATCGAAGAGCAAGAATCCTCAGAATTTTCTGCCCCCAGGAAACAAATAAAGACAAGACTTAATTTACTGGTTAGCCATTAATTACAGTGGATTTTGATAACCCAGATCAATAGTAATCATGGAGCTTTAGACTTATAACTAACGGGGAAATTCCTCAACACTTTTCCTAGCCTGGACTTTTAAAGATACAAAGTTAAAGTTCCATTCTAACTTAACTGTTGAGTGTCAGCACATAATGGTAGGATCTCCTCTTTTTAAACCATCTCGGTGTAATGTATATTTGCAAAGTCGAGTTCAACTCTAAGAAATCATTTGTCCGTCCGTGAAGTATAGATCATTTACGAGGCAAGAGTGAACATTGTGTTCAAGTCCAACCTTTTTCCTTTCTTACACAAACACTGCACAGTAAGATGCAACAACTGTTTTTCTAACACCTTTTCCTGAGATAACAGGGAACGGCTTTGAATCCTTCCCTTAAGATAATGATTAAGTTCCTTTGCACGCTTTCCTTCGGACTTAGTTTTATCCTAATGAGATTCATTCAAACCGCTAGTGACACTAAATTTTTTTAAAGTTCAGTATGAAAGTGAAATTCTTACCTAAAACCTTTAAATCAGCTTCGTTCGAAAACTCTGATCCAAATTGATTAATCGCTCGACAACGGTAACTCCCATTTAAACCCTGGACGTCGTTTATTTCAAGAGTATTATTGTGATTATAGAAGCTCTTGTCGATGACGTTGTTTTCCTTAAACCTAGCAAAGAAACGTTGAATAAAACAAGCAATAAAGATCAAACAATGTCCACCTATGACAAAATTGCATAGAGCGTAAGTAGAGATAACTGGTTTGGAAATCTTTATGTCAAATTCTTTTGTTGGGTTTTCTAAACCAGACTATGCACAGAATTCAATGGCTTTTAAAATCCTTTTGAACTGACTGACCAATAGAAGCTTTCTATAATTTACTTATTTGAAGTGTATAAAAATACACACGAAAAAAGAATTTATTTGTAGGATCAGGAACCAGTCCCAACAACAGGTGCAATACCATGGTTTTCCTGACACGTCACTGCAAATTGCATTATGCAATTTAGCCTCCTTACCATTCAATTTCTGGTTGAGGATTTCCCTCTCCTTCACAGCAAAATGTAACACTCTGACCAGGCATGCGTACCTTGCTTTCTGGATGAACTGTTACAAATGGTGCGACTGCAACAATAAACGAAAGAAGCACTATTAATTGATAGGAACTGCAAAGGAAAAAAAAAAACAACTCAGAATCACCCAGAAAGATAGAGAGTATTTACAGGACCTGTGATGACTCCAAATATTAATTACCATCTTTCTGAGTGATTCTGAGTTTTTTTTCGTTTGCAGTTCCTATTATCTAATCGTTAGCAAACATTAATTTGGAGCGTACCTGCAATTTCCATTTTGGCCGTAATATTAGCAGTTGTTGGCGTCGTAACATTTGCCGTTAATATCACGGGTACAAACCCTGCTTTGGTAACCAGCAGCTCTTGTTGGATTGCGCAAACTCCCAGAGTCACAAAGTATCCGCTGACATTTGTTTGTGCAAT